GTTTTACCAAGCCCTGGTCTGGAAGATAGTTATCGCTTAAACCAGCTTTAGTAAGTGATCGAACTTCGTCCCCTGGTCTCCAGTATTTCATTGCTTCTCGTATTCCAGGATCAAGACGCGCCTCTGTTAGTGTCTGTTTCTGTAAAGGTCACAGCCCTGTCCAAAGCTAAAATTAAATGGCGCCACGAATTTGCTTGTGCAGCAGCGGCGATCTCCTTCCGTCATTGTTCTTCTGAGGCGATCTCCCTCACACATGGTTGCTACTGACGAGCGAACTCGGACAACTAGCTGGGGCGCACAGTATTATGCAGAGCAAAAGCGACAAAGCAGCTCGCGCAACTGGCGATCGATCCTCCATCCTTCGGTGTTACTAGCCGTATGTGGAGTTGTTGGACGCTGCGTCATCGCGCCGTTGGTGGTGCTCGTTGTTTGTATCACTACCGGCTACTTCACCAGCGCCACATTCTTCATTGACGCCAAACACAGCTACTTCGCCTACAGCCAATTGGATCCAATCATGCGAGGTGGTTGCCACGATTGCCTCTCTTCTTGTCGAAAGGTGTTCATCCAGCTCAGCGTTTTCGGAAGTGACGCTATAATCAGTATGCCGGTTTACGAGAACTCTCAAGTAGTGGCAAACGCTGATGCAGCGGCCGGAGACTATAGCAAGTTAACCCCCGAAGAAATAGCGCTCGCAGATAAGCTGGATAATGATGGAGCCGTCTGTTCTGTCGCTATTGGGGCTGTGAACGACTGGGGGACTCCAAACGTTGCGATTGGTAGCACTGCTGAAGGGATATTAAGCGTAGTTAACACGCTGAATTTGTCATTAGCACCACAGATGAAACGTGAACTGGAGGTGGCTGTTGATCAAAAGGAGCAGTGTGAATCGCGTTGGAATCTCGGTGTGGTGTTACGTCTCCACAGATTCCAGACGGTCAAAAACAGTGCAGATTATTCCTCCATCTCAGTTGCCGACTTCAACACGTATCCGGATTATGCTGACTGTCGTCCAGATATTCCGAACCAGGGGGTTGTAGGCATGAAACTAGCCTTTGCAACTAACGGAGAAGACCTCCTATCAGTGGTTCCAGATCGACTTAAGCAGTTTCCGTACGAGATCGAGAGCAGTAGTCTACCTACAATTTCGCGATACATTAAGACGGTACCAACAATTCACGGATTGACGACGGTCACGCAGCCTCTACTGCGATCATATTTCTCCGGTTGTCGAGTTCGTGTCGTGAATACTACTGCAGTGTACGTCGAGGAAGGGTGCACGCTAATAGATCACTGGCGTTCGTATGGATTGACGTTACAGTCTCCCGATGATTTGCCAGTATGTTCAACTGGCGACGTGTGTGTTCACAATATGTACAACACAGTATGGGAGTACACGAACTCCCTCAGTTCGGCCGATCCAACGCGCGTCATTCAGATTATCAGTGTATTTCGCAGTCGATACGCAGACAGCGTAGCCCTGAGTATGTTACCAGGTGCTATTGTGGCTCAAATCCTACTCATGGGTATCATCAGCCTTTACCAGGTAATGTCATCCAAGCGCTCCGTGTTGCTAACTCAAATTTGGGCGTACCGATGCCAGAATGGACGTATGCAGATTGCGTATCTTGCTCAAGTCATGTATCACTTCGCGTTCAATTCTGATATGTACTATCTCGGACTTTCCACCGGAACCTTATCTTCCGCCTCCATCATGAATCTCGCGCTAAGCTTTTATGCTTTTTCTTATTCATTCATCAACGTGATCAAGGCTCGAACTGGAGAACAAGAACTCGATCGCGGTTTTCGATTGCTATGGGAAGTAGTAATTCTCACAGCTACTGGGTGCGTCACTGGCGTGCTATTATCCTTAAGATACACCTCGTTATCATTTATTGGTGATCTTAATGGCGAATTGTTGCGACGAACATCAACACTTGGAGCCAAATACTGTGGTTTGAAGGATTCGTGCTACGTTTTTATCGTGAACTTGGGGTTCGTCATCACCGCAGCTGCTCTAGCTTTGGGGTTTCTTACGAACTGTATCGCGTTAATGATAAAACATTGTCAAAGGAGTCGAGGAGCGAGTAAATACCGTGTCAACAGTGCCGTGAGTGCAGGAGATGGGGTAAAGTCACCACAAATGACGACATTTGAGGAGAATTGTCTCGGTGCACCGTTCTCGAGGCTCTTTAAGGACTGCAACGACTTTGCCTACGTCACTTACATGAATAAACGATGCTCGAGTGTCGAAACCATACTACTCACTGGTTATTTGTTTTACGGCGAGCATGTGTACCAAGCGACTTCTGTTGTGTTACTGCTCGTGGCTCGGTTGGTACCGCGTAAATTCCTCCGAACATTCAATCAACTTTTACTTCGCTGGCATTACGACCCAGAACAGGGAACACTGACTTATGCCACGTCATGCACGTGGTATTCGGCCAGTGCGGAAAACTATAAACTCTCGGAAGCAATGCCGCTAGCGTAATAAAAACTGTTCATCGTCTTCGAACACGTCAATGATAGATAGATTAACTCCTGAGTCTTTGCTGTCATGAGACCCTTGCTTCGTGATGAATCTTGACTGGTTGACGTATATTTTCTTCTTGAAATGATCCACTAGTTACCATTTTTCCAAAATGGAGAAAGCGATTGCTAATGTGACGACATACAATGGAGGTGACCTGCTAGTGATCCTGAACGGTTCAAAGGGTGTACGCAAGTTGAAGCAATATATCAAGTGCGAAGAGGTCGTAGGTCCGCCTCGTGTAGCTTAAAATGTAGCAAGACGAGGTGACGGAATTTGAACGATCCAGGGCATGCTCGCGCATGAGTATTTGCAAGAACTAGCTAAACGCCACGTGGAACTACCGGTTGACACTGCAGCGATGATGAATGATACCAATGAACTGGACGACGACTCTGCTCGTATCAGCGACGAAGCACTCAGCTTCACAACTCTTGACGAGCTTGACGGAGTCAGCGAGTTCGACAAGCTAGACGTCCGTATTATAATCGACGGCCAAAAGAAGATTGTCATTGTCGATGGTGGTACGGCTCGACATCCTGTAGCCGGGTTTGTTAGACTATTAAAAACAAGCCTTCCTGGTTGAGCACTAGTGAAATAGCTGTCATGATGTTGAAGAAGTGTTCGACGGGCACAGTGTGCCGCGTAGATCCTCGATCGAGCCAAAAGCCCACGACACAGTTGTGTATGTCAGGGCTAATGGATTATCTGCAGGCTTCTTTTTGTTGGATCAAAGCTCGTCGTCGAAAAAGATAGACTAGGGAAGCTGTTGCGCTGG